GACTTTCCTTCCTGCTCTTTAAATCCCTCCCAAAAACTTACATCAAGCTTTTCAACCATTTTTCAGGCTCAGGCCATTTCATTTTTGGCAGTATTACATGTTCTTGCACGACCATTATCACTGTATAATTGTGAGATTACAGCTGGCTGAGCATGAGCCACCTTGGGATAAACATCACAGCAAAGATAACTTACTTTATCTTCACTGCAATGTGGCATAATGATGACTTTGCCCCATAAAGCTCTTTGCAGTGGGAAAAAAAAGGTTTCTTCCCCAGCAGAGTATTTATTATCCTAAATTATAGGATGTATTTCTGGTGCAATTTTACTGCTTTAATTTTCTCATTTTCTCCTTGTAGTCACTTTCTCTGGGGGAAAACACCTGCCTGCGCTGCCAGAAAGGGAGCACTGTAATTGAAAAAGGGGCATCATCGGCCCCTCGATGATTAAATTTAACCTTTTCCCAGTACGACCACACTAGCATGGACGTTTGTGTGAAGTAGATGGATTTGCCAGCCTCTTGGGCTGAAGTTTAATCTTGGATATTTTTGCTTTTCTGTACTTTTGCCAGCAATGGCAAATGCTCACAGGACTGCATCTATGTCGGGTTGCAGTCCTGAAGTCGGAATGAAGGTCCAAGCCTTGGATTTATGCTCAGAGCCGGTTTTCACAGCTGCAGCTACTAGAGAAACCAGATCCTGTCTTCTGCGAAGCACAAAAATATAGGCTGAATACGAAGAGTTGATTTAATTTCTTTTCCATTCAGTGAGGCAGTGAGGAGAGGAGGATGAAGCATCACCTGCTTTGAAGGACCGTGTGATTGCCAGGGAGAGCACAGCACCTGGGCACAGTTGGGGAAGGCAGAGTACAAACCCCCATCTCATCCAGAGACAAAGTCCAATGTGTTGTAGTGCTAATGGCCACACTCCATCTCAGCAGAAAACAAATCTTGTTGCTAAAATCGGAGGATTCAGGCAATTTGGGACTCAGACTGCTAGCAAAAAAACCTGCTTTAAGAAACACTGTGGTACTGACAGTGAGCGTCTCAAGCAATGGTGCATGTCAACTGTATCGAAAAGTTTTCAAATGAAATCTAAGGCAAACTGCACCCATAGGGAGAGGGACCAGCCAGGTGTGAGCTTTTGGTCCTTGCTGGGAGGACATGTGGAGGAGCAGCCCCCCACTTTCCTTGCAGGGGGCTCCAGGAAACATGGGACAACCTGGCAAATATTAGCTAAGAAAACATGCTTTGGGCTGACATCTGGCTCTGGATGCAGTGCCTAAATATCAATATCTTTCATGACTGCTTAACGACAGGGAAAAATGAAATTCATCTTTTTTGTCACACAATAATGAAACTCAATTTCTATGGGACTCTGGGGGAGAGGGGCCATCCATTAAAGAAAAACCTATTGACCACAGTACAAAACCACCACCAGAATCTCATAGCAGTCTTTAGCTACCTGGCACACCAGACTTAAACACCAAAGTGCCTTTAAATATCCTAAACTTGTATTTGTACTGACCACCCCAGATGTTTTAGAGATGCTATAAATTGAAGGAATAGGATTA